ATAGAACTGTCGCACTGTCGTCATCCAAATTAATAATGAACCTTTCTCTTGGTATCTTTTCTATATCAATATATGTCTCTTTCACCTTTTTTATATGGGAAACACACTTGGTCTAGCAGCTATCAGGAATATTTGTAGCTTCTGTTTGAATAAGAGCTACTATAGTCGAACTTAAGGTTGGAGAAGTATTATTTCTTCGAACTGCCGACTTAAGCTGACGCCATATATGTTTAATTTGGTTAAACATAAAGTGGTAAGGAGGAAGTCTGAGCACTGTATGTCCCAAGCTCTCAGCTAATGTGTCACAAAAATATTTCTTTTGTGTATTGAATAGCTTTTTAGAACTTCCAGTAACTGCTTTTCTGTGTACTTTTCCACAAAGTACAAATCATTGTTTACCATGTAATCTTGTATGATGGCTTTTATGTCGTTTGAAAAAGATACCTGATCTAGTCTTCGACTGTGATTATCCATGACGATAATACTGTTGGGTGGAATATTTGGCAAAAGTTTGGAACCAATCTTCAAATAATTCGGCAGTAATGTCGTCATGGTAATCGACTAAGGAGTCCTTACTATTTTTTGCCGATAACGACAACGCATTAGGTATAAAACCATTATTGGTTCCTGCGTGTATTATAGTAATAGGTTTGCCTTTATTATGTGGCACAAGTCAGATGAGTCTACCAAACTTTTGGTTGGAATATCGCATGTATCGAACCAAGTTTCATCCAAAAACACAACTATTCTGCCAGCTTCTCTAAAATCATTTATCGCCAATAAATATTGAAATGTACAATACTTAAGGCGCACAGATTCCATTATGACTTTGTTGCTGTTATTAAATTTTTTAAATTTAAACCCGTTTCTTAAAAGATACTTCCTTAAAGTCTTTTTGCTACAATGAATTCCAGTTTCGTCCTTTTCAAGCCGTTGCATCAATATATCTAGTGTAGGCAAAATTTGCTCTCTATATATGTCATATTTTTCTTCGAATTAGGTCTACATCACAGCCATCTAGTTTCTTTGAAGTGTCAGAGTCTTTTCTTTTCCTTCTTTTTAAAATAGGGTTACTTACTATTTTAAATACTGTAGAATACGGCGTTTTTATTAAAGAGACATCTTTCCATTGAAAATGTCATTTTAAGCTTCGCTTACTACTAGCAGTGCAAATTATAATTTTAGGCTAGTGACATGCAGAGTAAGGCCATATTATAAGAGAGTACTCCTACACAACTACTCTTAAAGTTATTGAATAGTGGTTCAGTGATTTGGACACAGTGGCGGTGTAAAATTTAGGAGATCATTTTTCCAGACCCAGTTTATGATGAGGATTGCTATTTTGTGATATTGGTTAATACTTTAAAGCGACTATAACGAAGCTAGACATTTATAGATTAATGGAAAATCATTTTATGAAATGCAAAGAATTAGATTTACAGAAAAAACTATCCATTAGCTTACCTACTGACAATATACCCTATACTATAAAGCTGAAAGGTACGATACTGTCGTAAGCATTTATTTCCAGTTTTTTTAAATCATTCCAGAGAAAATGGTGGAATTTATCTGAATCGATTTTAAATCGGATATGTACAATTTTTACCCATTTTTTAGACAGGTTCCACCATTTGCTGAGTTCAGCTGAATATGGGTTTCATCTCGCTATGTACAATCAGACCAAAAGTTTAGTTTTAAATATTCTTAACTTAAATCACCATTAGTAATCTACTATCATATATTTGTTTTTAACATACATTTAAACAAAATTTAACAGTTTAGTTTTCTTCTGATTCATGTTATTGAAGATTGAAAGAGCCTTTACATTAAAATGGATTGTAGAGCCATTCTTCGTGGTTCCTTTTAATTCTAATTTTGACGGATTCTACTTTAATGTCCTTAGAAAGGTATTACTTATGGCTAATTTGAAGCACCTCAAAATATGTATCGATTGTTTTTTAAATCTAAATAAGAATCTGATAAAATGGAATATGTTAAAAACATTTATTTCTAAAATCTATTAAATATATATCTGTTTAAATAATAATTAAAACCATGAAACTATCTGACCCCGCCACTGTCTATCCAATCATGCCTTATACCACATGGTTGACTCCCTCAACATCGACAACTCGTTTGGCTCATTTGAATAACAACCAAATGAGAAATGGTAAAGAGTAAAGGCGTAGAACAAGATTATTTTGGGGGGAAACCAATTTTCAATTACTATTTAAACTTTAGTCAGTAACTGAAAGAAATTTTCTTATTGTGATATTTAAACACTGACCTAACAATTTTTTTAATGAAACAATATATGTCGTCAGAGTATTCACTGGCAATGTCTATTTATAAAAATATACGACTATATAGTCGCAAATGAAATTATAACTGCCTAACTGCCAGACAATGAGGCATTCGGAAAAATTTTAGTACTACTTCTTTATTACTAAATGTAACCGATGATATTTTGAAATCTCTATATAAAGGAACAATAGTAACGCAGTTAGATTTTTCTAAAGTATTTAGATCACCAATTATTATGCGCTAAACTAAATTAGTATGGTTATAATGAAATATCTCTAATATTCTTCAAATTTTATCTTAGTAATAGATTCCAAAAAGTAGTAATAGATAACGAATCCTCTAACTTTACATGTGTTACATCTGGAATTCCACACGGGTCAGTCCTTGGTCCGTTGCTCTTCGTCATTTACACCTCTGATCTCTATAAAATTGTAAAATACGTAAACATACACTCATTCGCAGATGACATTCAGTTATTAATAAATATTTTGAAAATAGTGGCAACAGCGTTCACATAAATAGTAAAAATTGTGCTAAGTAGAGTGTTTAATAATATCAAAAAAATTATACAGAATTATAGATTACAGTTTAACATTTAAAATGCTATTTTAAGGTATACCTATAAATTTCCTACCATATGATATTCCACAATTTGCAGTTGTTTTCAAAGATTTTCAACTTTGTGTTTCCCAGCAGTCACACAGCCAAATATTAACGTAAATATTCACTGCTTAGCTGCATGTATCAAAAAACCGAAGTAAAGCTGACACCATTTTCCGAATACAAAAGTTTGTCAGGACAAGAGTAACTATAGTACGAGACGATTCAGTGGAAAGTCTTTTGAAGTGCGCCGACTTCATATGGAATAAACACTTGATACTGGAAACCATGGCAATTTACTAAAGGACGAGAGAAAACTTAAAACTGAGATAGGTATATGCCTTAAAAAATAGAATGGATTAGAATGGATTAACCTGGTACAGAACTGGTGCGAATGCAGCTTCAGCCAAACAATGGGGTAACAAGGCTAAACAGATAGATAAACTTAATCTGAAACTGGTTGAAGACACATAAAAATCATTACTAAATTCATAACCAGCAAAAAGACAAATCAGTTAAGTTAACCATAATTCTACAGACATAGAGCATCAAATATTAGTTTTTATTACTGTCACAAATTGACTTAAAGACAGACTTCTAATGGTTTTTTCGCTCCAATAAACAAACTAGGACCGATATACGGTCCTTGGCAAATTGTGAACTGTATTAAATAATGTTGGAAATACCTGTGCGATCCGTAGATCTAGAAGAATTATAGCTTGGATGAAAACATCACCTTCTAGTTACACACTTTATTTTAAAACACTACTGAAACGATGTTATTTTTATTACATGGTACACTTATAAACTACATACTTTTTACACTATGTACAGACCTTTCTTAAGAAATTAGTTACTTAAGCACTCAAGCCATTCTTATGGTTTTAAAAAAAAATTCCTGATGGCCGCCGAAAGCGTTGCCTTCTTTTATACCGCAAAGCGATGTTTTGTTTTGGACTTTTTTTTATGATCTACCGGGAGAGAAGTTGCTCAGCTAGATTGACTAATTGTGAAGTATATAACGCTGGTGTTTTTAACCAATGTGGGCGATTGCCAGGTATGGATGACCAATGAGGAGTAGAAAAGAAGTAAATAACACTTGTGACGTAGCTATTGGACGGGAGACCTTTCTTATCGGCCAAGGCAATGGGGCAGATACGTCTCTAGGAATAAAAAGTAGTGCGGCTTGCAGAGACGAATTAAGAATGTTATCTTTTAATTGACTTTCTCATAGTTTGTAAGTTACTTATGTACTTTCATAGGACAAATGTTTGTGGGTCTTAAGATATAGCAAGATATAGCCGTTTGCTAGTGCCAGACGATATAGACTCTTTTAAGCACCTTGCTCAGTGGCGGCTCGAGTTAAATACATTGGATATTCTGCAAGATTCTGACAAACTTATAAAGGCTCGACTAGTGAGATACCTCGAATCCAAAATAACGTACTGGAACTAAATCAAATCGGTTTTCACAGCAAAAAAATGTATCGGATAATGCTTCTTTTTATTTGGAATTACTTAAACAAGAATAAATTTCAAAATACCTGCAGTATTTTTTGATCTATAGTTTTTGATTGTGTCAACCACGAAGTGCTGCTGCTAAAGTTTGAAGTTGTACAGTATGAAAGATGTGACCTTGAGTTGAATGAAATACCAACCTTTAGGTCGCAAATGGTTCGAACTAATTCAGACTCGCATAAAATAGATTGTCCCTCAATGTTCTATTCTGGGTCTCATCTTGTTTTTAAGTTATATTATTGATTTAGATGAGTTAAATATTTGAATATCTAATTTGCTTATTTGGTGCAATCTTATAACATAATAAAGACTTCATAAATATAACAGAAATGATGGTAATTTTGAATATTCTGGTTTATATTTTAAACACTATATTTATACAATACCATATTATGTTTGTAATACCTTGAACAATAAACATTTCACATTTCACAAGGCTAAGTCGACCCAAGGCCCATTAAAAATGCCTAAGTGGATTGACAAAAAATACAGTATTTACATACGTCAAACAATTTTATACCTATTTTTTTAATTTATAGGTCATTTAACTTCAGCTTATTTTCTTTATATTTGTTACAGGTCGTCAGCTCGATGGATGCTATGAAATACTCAATGGAAGCGGATAAATATCGTTCCCCATACATGCCACCATCCAGTTTAGCCATGTCGATGTATTCGGATCCGAAATATATGGATTCTTCTTCAAAGAGCTATCTGGAACGCGGCTACCTTGACTCCACTTCAGCTCTCACCAAAGCCTACTTTGAATCTTCCAAAATGTACATGGATGCCAACATTGCCAATAAATATAATCCGGAAAGTACCAGGAGTTATACACATGGTAAGGATATTAATATATAATATTGTTCAAAAATATTGGACAATGTAGACGGTAACAAAATATAAACAAAAAAATTTCACATCTCATCCAATACAAGCTTTACTTTTGTATATAAACGTAAGTTTGTCCAGATTTAAATACATTTTTTAAAATTATTGTTAATTTGTTCAATATATTAATTAAGTGCTGATACTTAAGGATGCGAATCTAGGTGATTTTAAGAAAAAAAGTTAATATCAACAATGTCGTAAACCTCCTAATTTTTGAGCTAGAGGGTGTTACACTTTTAAGAAAAAAATTACTTCTTCATCCTAATTTTCTTATCATCCAGATATTTTTATGAAATTTTATACATTGAAGGACATTTTGTAAAATATATTTTAAATTTTTATCAGTGACGTCCGTACGGAGATTGAACTGAATATTTTTGTAAAGAAATATGGAACACCACTACTTTTTCAAAAAACCAAAATTATATGTTTTTATATCATTTAAATTACGCTGTTTTAGAAAAGTGGCATTTATTCTTACCAAAACTGACTAGCATCACTAGCTTGAGTTTGAGATATGTCGTAAAAGTGTAATGCAAAAATGCAGATACTTTTATTATGGTCATTGCATATCCTTTTTATTCTATATCAATTCTATATCACGGATCTGTTGACGTGTTGCCCTCTCTTTTTAGCTACATGCCTTCGCAAAAACCTCTCGCTCCCTAGCGCTCAATCAAAATAGTGAATCACAGAGATGTGGTTAGCCAGAGCGCAGTGGCGTACCAAAAAATAAAGATTAACACGAATAAAAACAATAAGTATACGAGGTTTGTTCGGAAAATTCGTATAAAAAATTCAAGGCGACGTGTCAAGTCGTTATTGCGGTGCAGCCCGATGGTTCCCTCTTTCTATGCAATCCCCTCAACGCTCAGTTCGAGCCAGAGCGCTCTGCGAGTAAGTAGGAGTTTACGTTTGCTTGTTGAAAGTAACCCTTTTTTTACCTGCCATCGGCATGGAGCTCTCTCTGATCAAGTTTATTGCAAAGCTAGGCAAAAATGGCCTTGAGATTTTTGATTGCTTGAAACAAGTTTACGGAGACAATTGTCTGAAGGAACCAAACGTCAACAAGTAAAAAGGTTCCGGAAAGGCCGAGAAGAGGTGAAAGATGACACTCGCTCAGGACGCCCCTCCACATCGAGTTCTGAGGGAAATATTGAACGAATGTGTTCCTAAAGACCATCGATTGATAGTTAGAATGATAGCTGAGGATCTGTCAATCCCCAAAACAATTGTCTACGAAATTCTAACAGAAAAACTTGAAATGAAAAAAATTTATTGATTGATTGGAAGCAGAGGAAAGGGGGGACTTTCACAACCGGGTCATCACTAAAGACTAGTCCTGTTTCTACGAATTCGATGTGGAACTGAAATCTCAAAGCAAGGAGTGGAAGCAAGCAGGGAAACCGAAAACAAAAAAGTCGCGAAAATCAAAGTCCAATGTGAAAACAATTTTAATTGTTTTCTTTGATTCTCGGAGCATTGTTCACCAGGAATTTGTCCCTCCCGGCCAGACAGTGAACGGAAATTTCTACGTTGAAGTTTTGATATGTCTCAGAACTTGTGTGGCCCGAGTTCGACCGGATTTGGTACAAGGAGGCAGGTGGATTCTTCATCACGACAACGCGCTTGCTCACACCTATGTCGTTGTGCGTGAGTTTTTGGCTCGTAGCTCAATCATCGTGACAGAACACCCGCCTTATTCACCCGATTTGGCCCCTTGCGACTTCTTTCTGTTCCCAAAATGCAAATTGGGCACTTGAAGATGTGAAAGCTATCAAGGCAGCAAAGACAAGGCAACTGAAGTACCTCACAACTGAAGACTTTCAGCGATCTTATCAACAGTAAAAATGGCGTTGGCAGAAGTGTATCTTGTCTTAGAGGGAGTACTTTGAAGGACACCATATTGAAATATCTGAATAATTGTAAAATAAAGTTATTATTCTACTTTTATACGTATTTTCCGGACAAACCTCGTATCTACATGAGCAAAAAGTCATCATCCTTTATATGATTTCTGTTTTATTTTTGATTTGTTCATGTAAGCCTTACATTTAAAATTATTTAAGATCTATAGTTGTCACTGAAATTCTCTCTGTAAGTCCCTGTCTTACAGGGAATTCAATAGATTTTAATTAAAGAAAATTATGTGCTACCACTTCGCAAATCGACTTCCATACTTATATCGTATATTACCTAGCGGTCACCAATCCAACAATTTAATCCATTTATTTTCTATTTCAGCCGGTCTGGACATAGGTAAAATGTATGCAGACCACCACCACCAACAGCAACAGCAAGCCTCCCAGCAACAACACCACATGAGTTCACCAAGGTCGTCTGACTCTCCAGACGTCAAACCCATCCAAGACAGATTAGAAGGTAACTCATCTTCCAGCTCCACGACAACATCTTCGGCGGGAGCTTCACCAGGAGCTCTACCACCTGGATATTACCCAACGAGTGCAATGCAACAGAGTACAGCGGGGCTGCTGCCCATGGCTCAGTACGCAGGGCAGTATCCCTCCCAAATACCCGGTAGTGAATTTAGGAAACCGCTTACTGTCATATTTTGACCAGATAGAATGTGAACGTGATTTTTAGTGATATTTATAGGTGCGATTTGTTTAAATATTGATATTACGGTGTAGCAATAGCGGTTTACGAAAAAGATATAAGGTATGCCTTCATATAAATATGAAATTTGGACTATTTATTAAATAATAAATTTAAAAAAAATCTAAAAATTACTAGATTATTTTAGGTGTGACTCTTTAGTTATGAGAAACGTTTGAAGTGAATTTAATTAATATTATATATTATAATTGATCGGTCATTAAATCATGAACTTTTTACAGACTGATATCTTCTAAAAGTGCCATATTCCGCTATTACTCCGACAAAATCATATTTATCCTGAGCTAGACTTAACACTTCTTCAGAATTTAGTCGTGAAGCCTGCTTTTTTTCTGTGCTACACATTTCGATTTAAATTATCATATTTGCTTGTATAGTTGATACATAGACATACCGTTTGACTTCATGCCTGCATTGAAAATTCAAATTATCTTATAACAAAGATGAACCAACTTATCAATATTTTAATTGCAAGGTTAAAATTATTTAATTAAATATTTATTTTAAATACAAATATCGAAGTAAACCTACACTCGCACATTTAACTACACATTGCAACGTTTCAGTTATAAGTCGACGAAAACGTTTTTAAAATAATTACACCATATCTGCAACTATATCTTCCTGACACAAGACCAAATAATCCACCATTGACATTTGAAGTTGGTTCTAATAGGTACCTGATACTTTTATGCGAGCAGGTTCCCGGGTTAAGGTGCGTTTGTTCAGCTTGATTTTGTTATGAGCATAAACATAAATTAAAACCGTTTATACAGAAAATTTAAGCATTTATATAAGATTTGACATATCATTAAAAATAGAAAAAGGACGTATAGTTTAGAGTTTAGAAGTTGGAAAGTTTAAAATTCAGAACAATAGCTTAACCTCACTTTTTTAAAACACATGCGCAGTTATTGTATTTTCGTCATACATTTAAGCATTAAGTTGGATTTTATTTATCGTCACTATGTTTATGTTAATGTTTACCTGTATAAACAGGTGAATTAAAATGTATTAAATTTAACTTTTTTGTTAATGTCTATGTTAATGCTCAAAACTATAACAAGATGACTAAACGCTCCTTAAGGACTTAAAGTGATTACCTTTTTAAGGCAGTCAAACGATATTTCTATAAAGAAAATATATACTACTATTTTTCCCTACATATTTAATTGTGAGTAATCTTTCTATAGATTCCAGCTCGTCTTAGTTATTCTACAAGTTGAAACAGTTGGGATAGCAAAAAAATTCTTTGTCGATGTTGGATTTTCAGCCAGAAGCACCATCCTTGCTCTTTGCGTCAGTGGCGTTGATTATATTTTTTTCAATCCCTTCTTGCTGTACAGAATGTGTATGTAAGGCAGCGAAAAATGTACATTTTTTGGCAAAGAATTTGGAAAATTTACGGAGCAAAATCAAGCGCTTTTTCTGATGTTGAGTCGACATCACGGGATGTCTTTGCCATTTTTTTTTTATACTTTGCGTTGCCATTTTATGAAATTCCGTTTTTCTTTTAAAATTAGCATTTCTTTAATTAAAGAATACATATACCGACTAAACTGCAAGGAATAACGTGAAAAGAAAATGGTTATTAGCGGCGTGCAAAAAGGGGTTAATGAAATTACAAAAACGAAAACTTGATTTTATTTAAAAATTTTAACAATTTTGTCAAGCGTTGCAGTTTAAAAGGAGCCATAACTGTAATGGGTTTGATTTTGACTAATTCAGAGACGTGCAAAAGGGGTTCAGTAATTAAAAAAATTAATTATCAGTTTTATTTTTTTTTTCATTGGTTTTTTATTTAGAAAGTGCATACATGTAATTCATTAGAATAATTTATAATATTTATTAATAAATAATTAGAAGGTATTAGACCTCCTCTAACCTGAATAACTGCCTGACATCGCCTTGGCATGCTCTAAATTATGTCCTCCTTGAGATCGTCTAGAGTTTCTGGCTGACGTTCCCCTTAAAAAAATTTCATTTTCACCCAGCTCCAGACGTCCTCAATAGGATTCAAGTCCGGGGATTTAGGAGGCAATTCAGTACTATTAAGATTTTGCTCTTGTAGATATCTGTTTAAGCCGATTAGGCCGAGCATAAACGTCCACAAGAACAAAATCCTCACCATAATTTCAAGCATGGGGGAGAACTTCCGAAATACCACGAGTTCTGTTCTTCCATTGTTTTGAATACAGCCTCAAATCGTCATTCCACCACCGCCAATTGAACTTAGGGACACATATTTACTTATACTAAAAAAGCTAAAATAATTCAACCTATTTGATTGCAACTGAACCCAAAAATTTTTGAATTATTAGTTATACCAAATTTAACTAAATTAGATGTTATAATGTTCAATAAATTCCAAAACCTAGTAATGTTAAGTTGGAAGTAGCAACAGGGCTTTCACGGGCATGGGTATCTACGTTGTTTATTATAAGCGCACACCGCTTACACCCTTGCATACACATTTATTCATTGATAAAGTAAAGTTGTATCTGCGTAAAATGCATCTCTTTGTCCCCTCTCTTACGTCTCACCTTTTGTCTCTTCACCGCGGACCTACAAATGGAGCGTATTGATTGTCGAATTAATCTTGGCATTATGAATATTATATTTTATCAATAAATGGTTATATCTCTGTTATCTCTGCAACGCTCTTCCAACGGATGATTTCTTGACATTCAGGAACTCAGAAATCTTTCTTATTGTGTAATTTTTCTGCCATTTGGACGATAGTAATTTATTTTTGTTTTGACTTATGCAATTTAACGTCAAAACCTTATTTCTATGGTTATATTTTTTTGCCTTTTTAATAAAAAGGTAGAAATAAAGTTTCGTCGAAGCAAATGTCCCGACTTACAAATACAAAAATGATAGGTAGGTACCTATTATTGCTTACTGAGATTATCAGTAGGCATTTACAGGGTGAGTAGCTTAAAATGGAACCCTCAATGAACTTTCAGAAACACAAAAAAAATATTGACATGTGAAAATCGCAAACTTTAGCACGGTCAGCGGCGGCTCATGGCCAAAATTTTGGGGGTTCACAGTTGCAGAATATAGATCTCGGTATAGATATAGGTAAAAAACTGTCAGTGTTTTAGGAAGGTATATTATAAACTTTCTAAAACACTAAGAGTTTTTTTCATACATCTCTACTGATACCTATATTCTGTCACTGTGAACCACCTCACGAGCCGCCACTGAGCACGGTACAACATAAAAACGGTTTTATACTTTTTCACGCCTCTGAATTAGTCAAAATTCAACTAATTACAGTTATGCCACCTTAACAAAAGTGTGAAAAATTTCAAATAAAATCAAGTTTTAATTTTTTAAATTTTATAACCCCCTTTTAGCACGCCGCTGGTGTTGACCGTTTTCTTTACATGCAGTTTAGTCGGTATCTGTTACTCTTTAATTAAAAAAACCAAATTTCATAGAATGGCGATATTTACATAGCAACGCAGTTTTAAAAATGGGAAAGAAGTCTCGAGGTGTCGACCTAGTGATCCACTCAACATCAGAAGGAACTTGATTTGGCTCTTCACATTTTCCAAATTCTTTGCCAAAGAAACTGACATTTTTTGCTGCCTTACATTCACAATCTGTACAACAAGAAGGGATTGAAACAAAAAATATTCGACGCAAGGATGGCGCTAACATAGTTACAGCTAGTAAAAATTAGGCAATTTTTTGACTCTCCTTCTTCATTTGCGGTGTAGTTCATTACAATATTTGAACATTTTTTTTTTTTTCAATCTTGCTCGTCATTTAGGTTAGGATCTTCAGTTACAAACATTCCAGATATCGAAACTGGTTGATTCATTTCATTTTTCTACAAAGATAATTAAATCTTAAATTTATTATTGATGGTGTTCAATATTACCTAAACATTGGCAACATTTTTAATGTCTGATGAAATCTTTTATCATTAAAATATTATGAAAATTTTAGTTTAGGGAAACGGTAATTTTATTTTGTCACGTTTTTTTTTTATTATCGGTTTTTACATCTGTTTCTACACCCCTTTTTGTCTTACTCAATAATAACTTTTGTTATAGAATCATTCCAATTTCTTTTAGTACGTTGTCTTCATAAATATATTTCCTAATCTTTGATTTTTCTCGGGTTTTTAAATTATTTTTGAACTATGATATATCCATGAATATAATAGAAAAATAGTTGAAATTTAAATCTTATCATTGATGATTATAATAGACCGCAAGATACATGCAGTCCTGATGTAATCTATACAGGGTGTCCCGAAATTAGACGGTTATACTTTAACAGCGTAATCTACATCTTAAAATAGGAGTAAAAGTTCATATAAACATAGGTCCGAAAACATTTCATTTTCGAGATACAGGGTGTTTTTTCAAAAATTTCTTTAGTCACCGGTTTTCCAAAGGTAACAAAAATAAAATTTTTGACTCCACATGCCTACTAATTATTGTTTACACTTTCGAATAAGATAACATCAATTTATCATGAAATTTTCAAATACTTTTCTCTTGAAAATGGTGCGTCCTAGCGAGATGCAACAAAAGTAGCTTTTAATAAAGAAAACATTGGTTTTCCAAATTTTACAGTCAAAAATGTTAAAAACTGTCAACAAAAAAAAACTAAGGGAATTTTACCCTAAGCCCTCGCTAATTTAGCCTCCTATGAAGATGATCAAAAACTGGGGTTTAGTCCATTAAATAGAGCGTAAACCGTTTAGTATTTGTATCAAATTTCACTTAGTTATATTTAAACGTTTAGAAAATATTCACAAAAGAGTGTCATCAGGACTTTACATTTAACACCCTGCATCTCGGAAAAGAAACGTTTTTGGACCTATGTTTATATGAACTTTTACTCCTATTTTATGTTGTAGATTACGCTGGTATAATATGATCGTTAATCTGTTAATAAGGTATACCAATCAATA